GTGAGGACAAGGGCCCTCCGGGGCAACTCATGTTCACCGGAACACATGCCAAGGACCCTCGTGGCCCTATCCCCTCTGTTCCAAATGTCCCCCTCCGAAAACCAAGCAAACAACATCTCTGTTTCCAGTTTGTCACCTCAAACAGCCTTAGCAGCCCTTTTACCATCAGGAAACAGAGTAAGTTAGAACTGTACTGATTGATGGATTAGTCCCGGCAATTGACTTGTACCAAAGGGCATCATGGCAGAGAAAGAGAGAGGACAAACAGGGGAGGGGGAAATAAGGCATGATTGGAAGTATCCAAGAACCCAATCTGTGTGCACAGGAATGGGCCGAGGTCCAAGCGGGTCCAAGGCCACCCTGCTCACTGTGCATTGCCACCATCCCTAACTGAACAGGCATGAAACGTTCCTCAGAAAGCGTCCATGTAGGAACTTCCCCAACATCCAGCATGTGCATCTAAACCGACCATGAAACCCATGTTCCACAATGAAACACGGTGTCGATGCACAGCAGCGACTGTGACTGAAGTTATGCACAGAAGCTAAGCATTGTTTCTTAGTCATTAAAACCATCCATCCAAACTGGGGGGTCAGAAGTAGGCAGCTCAGCTGTGCAGTGCCGCAACAAGCCAAAAGCAGGCCTTTCCCAGGCCAGTATTTTCCAACACGGTTCTGTCCAGTCCCAGCGACTTTGATGCAGCTCTTGACCTTTGTGGGATGCAGATGGGCGATGGCTTGTGCTTTTCCACACCTGGAATGCTATAGATGAGAGTGTTAATCTGCCCTTCCTGTTATTTTGTTTTCCCTGCCCACTCCTCTTTCAAGCTTTGGTTGTTGTTGGTTGGGGTTCATTTTGTTCTGCTTCCCTTCCCTTCCCTTTCCTTTCCCTGCCTTTTGTTAAAACTTCTTCTTCCCTTCCTTCCTTCCTTCCTTCCTTCCTTCCTTCCTTCCTTCCTTCTCTCCCCCACTTTTGTTTGTGTTCATGAGCAAAGTGTTTTGTTTTGTTTCAGTCTTTTAATTTTAATTGCAGTCAGATGGCAGTGCCCCTTTACGGCCTCACGCTCAAATGTTCCAAGTGTGGAGTGGTTTCTTCCGCTGACGTTTCGGCCACAGCCACCAGTAACGCCATGTTAGTTCCTCTAATTTCAACTTCTTTTCTTTCTCCTTTTTATTATACCGATCCCCCCTTTCTTTTATTACCAGCCTCCTCTTTCATGCTCCCTTTCCACACCTCCCACCCAGTTCTTTCTCCTCCCACCCGGTTCTTTGGACTCCGTTGTCCCCTCTATGGTCCACATTCAGACAGCTGAATTTCCGAGGTTGTTCTCCCACTTCCAAACACCATACCCTCCTCCTTCTGCAGCAGAAGCCTGGGAAGCGATTTCAATATTAAGTGCTTGAGGACTTCCACCAAAGTGAATGGGCCTGTTCAGGGCCATTAGTCACAATCTCCTCTTGAGTGCTTGAATTGAAAGACTTTTCCCAAAGTTTTCTTCCCCACCAAAGCGGCTTCTGCTTTTCTCCTTCACCCAGGGCACTTCAGAATTTCTTCAGAGTTTCTTTGGAGCCACCTTAGCATTGCCCCCTTCCAAGGGTTCTGCGTGATGGAATGGCATTTCTTTCTTAATACAATCATCTATCACTCTGCAGCCTTCCTGACTGCCCCTACTTCTACTCCTGGAACATTCCCCCAATATCTCAGCGTGGGAAGCCATGGAGGCTGCAGAGTGCTAAAAATGTGATTGTACAATGAGAGGAATGACACTCAAGGTAAGGATGCACGCGAATGTCATTCCAGGTGCTTGCTAGCCATGTCTGCAGTACCGATCCAGGCCCCCTGCAGGTAGACATTTCTTCTCTTTAACAGCTCCAGGTCAGGCAAATCAACATGGTCTTCTCCATGCTGTGGATAGTGGCACCTGTCGAATTTGGCCAGTGCAAATGACTGTGAATTTTACTTGAGATATTTTTCAAACTGGGACGGGAAGAAGCTGATTTTTAAAAAGAGTAAACATGGAACTCACTGCTCTAACTGACAGTTAATGATAAGGCTGAGTTTAAGAGCCAATCCCTTAATATGAAGCCTTTGTAAAGCCAGGAATCTGCTACAGTCATGGATGCTAAAAGTTTGTTGGGGGAAGG